CTAAAAAATATGTTGATCAACGTATAAAATTAGATTCTGAAAACGGTGTGTTAGATGTCAATAATAGACGTATTGTAAATGTACAAGAACCAACTTTACCTTCAGATGTTGCAACAAAAACATATGTTGATTCACAAGTAAGGTTTTTATATCTGAGAATGATGTTGACTTAAAACATAAAAGAATAAAAAATGTGAAGATTCCTCTTGATGATAATGATGTTGTAAATAAGAAGTAGATAATGCATTTAGTAACTTTCCATATATCGATAATGAATACGTTAACTTTAACAAAAAACGTATAACTAATGTATCTCAACCTCAACAGCCTCTAGATGTTGTAAATGTTGAATATGTTAATGAAATAATGGATAATTCAATAACATTAATAGATGATTTAATGAATGCAAAAGAACATAGAATTACAGGTGTATCAAATGCGATAAATCCTTCTGATGCTGTAAATAAACAAATGCTTGATGAGCTATCTACACAAGTTGAAAACCAATCTAATTTATTAGATCAGAAATTTAATGAAACGTTAACCATCCATGATGGTGTTGTTGACATAAAATATAATCGCATAAGTAACTTGGGAGCTAAAATTAATTCATTAGACGCTGTAAATAAAGCTTCGCTAGATAGTTTATGATTTCGTTAGAGAAAATGAAATTAAAAAATTAAATATTGGTGTTATGGAATTGAATGAGCTTGAGAATATGCATGGAACAAAATTATTAGAATTACGTGATTATGTTAATAGTGTAAATGCTATTGATGATAAAAGAATTAGCGATCTTTTAACTAAAGTAGATTCATGTGTAAAGCAAAAACCTCATGAAAAAGCTATTAAAAAATTGAAGGAGAAATATCTTCTATTAGAGAAAATAATGATATACAGTTTGTTAAGCGTGATGAGTACTCTTCTGCAATTGGAAAATTAAGAATAATATTATACAAAATTCTGCTTTAAGTCAAGCAAATGAAGAAAACATTAAGATATTAAAAGATGATATGATGGAAGTTGTCAATCTCTCTTCACAAATAAATGAGTGTGTAAAGCATAGTGAATATTCTTCTACAATCGCTGAAATTAAAAGTAATGTTAGCAATCTCCCATCACAATTAAACGAATATGTGAAGCTTGATGAATATTCTTCTACAATCACCGAAATTATATATAAATTAAACAATCTTCCTTCACAATTAAACGAATACGTAAAGCTTGGTGAATATTCTACCACAATCGCAGAAATTAAGGATAATATAGAGCAAACTTCTTCATTAACTTCAACTGTTCGCGATGAAAATGCAGCTATTAAGCAGCAAATAACTACATTAATCAATCGAGATAACCTTTTTTTGTAGAATGCGCACATGAGGAGAATGTACTGTGAGTTGGACCACTTTTTATGTAGGATTTTTTATGATGAATTTGTGTGTATACAAACGAAAGCGGGAAATATCATTACATGTAGAGTTACAGCCTATTCGAAGCTGTATGTAGTTCACTGTTTTGTTTAATACTAAATTCTTCTAAGTATGAGATTGCTGAAGATTGCACAGAAATGTATTTCTGCTGAGTATTAGCAAATTAACTGAGTATGTGAAATATCCTATATTAAAGGTTGAAAGTACAGATACGAAATACGGTAGAG